AGTCACAATAAGAATTTTGTATAAAGATTAAATCCATGTGTGCATCAAAACTTTTTTTCCAATAGGGTGAAAAGAAAATCTACAGACTGGGAACAAATATTTGGTAATACCACTTCAGACAAGAGTCTTAAAACAAAAGTTTACAGAATATTCCTGGGCCTCCACAAGAAAAAGACTGATAACTCAAATACAAAATGGGCAAAAGACATGGAATGGCCAACAGACATATGAAGAAATGCTCCAAATCACTGGCAATAAGAAAGATGCAAATCAAAACCACAATGAGGTACGATCTCACTCCACTAACAGTGGTAAAGGTTAACAAGGGCACCAAGTATAAATGTTTGAGAGGATGTGGTGAGAAAGGAACTCTGAAACATTATTGGTTGTTGTTGTTGTTGTTGTTGTTGTTGTTGTTGTTATTTGCCTTCAAGTCATTTGCGACTCATAGCGACCCTATGTACAACACCCCTAAACCCTGCTCTATCCTATGCCAATCGCATTGCCTCTGACACACCCATCCCGATTACCCCAGTCACTGAATAAATCCACCTCATAGAGGGTCTTCCCCTCCTGTGCTGTCCCTCCACCCTCCCAAGTATGATGTCCCTCTCCAAGGACCTGTCTCTCCTTAAAACATGTCCAAAGTATGTCAGACGAAGCCCCAGAATCCTTGCCTCCAAGGAGTAGCCTAGTTTAACCCTCTCTAGGATGAATCTTTTTGTTTTCTTGGTGGTCCATTCAATACTCTTCTCCAGCACCACAGCTCAAAGGCATCAATTCTCCTTCTGTCTTCCCTAGTCACTGTCCAACTCTCTGATGCATAACAAGTGATTGCAAAGACCATGGCCTGTATCAGGCGCACCTTAGTCTCCAGAGAGATACCAGTGCTCTTGAGTAGACTTTCCCATCGCAATACGTTTTTTGATTTCCTGGCTGCTGGTGCCAAGAGTGTTGACTGTGGAGCTGAGCAAACTGAAGCTGTGAACAACCTTTGTTTTCTTGACACTGAGCCTCAGTCCATACTGAAGGCTGCAGTCCTGGACCCTCTGCAGCAAGTGCATGAGGTCCTGCTCAGTTTCAGAGAGCAGGGTTTTGTCATCTGCATAATGCAAATTGTTAATAGATCTTCCACCAATCCTGATGCCACAATTCTCCTCATAGAGCCCAGCCTCTCAGATAATCTGCTCTGCATACAGGTTGAAAAGGTATGGAGACAGGACACATCCCTGGCGTACACCCTTCCCAATTTTGAACCACACAGTGTTACCCTGCTCTGTTCTGACAACTGCATCTCGATCAGGTGTTCTGGGATTCCCATTCTTCTCAGAGTCAGCCACAGTTTGTTATAATCCACACAAACACCTTTGCATAATCAATGAAACACAGATAGACATTCTTCTGGTATTCCCTGCTTTCAGCTAAGATCCATTTAACATCAGCTACAATATCCCTAGTAATACGACCCCTTCTAAACCCAGCCTGGACTTCTCGCAATTTTCTGCTGATGTGCTGTTCCAGTCATTTTTGGATAATTGTCAGTAGAATCTTGCTTGCATGAGAAATCAATGATATTGTTCTGTAGTTTCCACACTCTGTTGGGTCACCCTTCTTTGTAATGGGAACAAATAAAGATCTCTTCCAGTCAGTTGGTCAAGTGGTTGTTCTCCAGATTTCTTGGCACAACTTGGTGAGCACATCCAGGGCAGCATCTGTTAGCTGAAATACGTCAATTGGTATACCATTTATTCCTGGGGACTTATTTTTTGCTATTTCCTTCAAAACAGCTTGAATTTCTTCCTTCATCACCATAGGCTCTTGCTCATATATTATTTCAAATGGCACAAACATTCTGGAAGACAGTTTGTAGCTTCCTCAAAAAGCTGAACCTAGAAATTCCGTATGGCCCAACTATTCCACTGCTTGGAACATACCCCAAGAAAATGGGCACTAAGGCTCAAACAGAAACTTGTACATCAATGTCTGTTGCAGTTTTATTCACCATCACAAGAACATGGAAAAAGCTCAGATGTCCAAACACAAACAAATGGATTAAGAAATTATGGTACATGCACACAATGGAATACTATGCAGGACATAGGAGCAATGCTTTTGTAAATTATTACCGAACTTGGGAGGGACTGGAGAGCATTATGCTGAGTGAACTAACTCAGTCTCACAAGGATAAATACTGTATAAAACCATTATTGTAGAATGAGTATAAGGATCCAAGAGGGGTGGGAGAGTTTGGAAGCAGAGGAATTAGGATGTGCAGGAGGACTGGGTGATTAATCATGGGGTTGTACATTTTGATGCATGAGGGGATGGGGGAAATTGAAAGAATTTGTTCTTGAAAACAATGTAATTGAATTTTGTAAATAAACTAGTAGAAAAAAATGATTTAAAAAAGAATTCTGTATAAATATTGAGAAGTCTCTGGGTAGTGTAAAAGATTAAGTGTTGACCACTAAAGGTCAACAGTTTGAAGCTACCAGGTTTGAAACTGCCTGGCAACATACCAGCCAAAAGGCCTAGCAACCTGCGTCACAAAGTTTGCAGCTAATGCAAAGCTGGCTCCACCCTGTATACAGGATGCCATAGACAGGAATGACTTCATAAGCCACAAGTTTGTGGCTCTGCCTATAAAAGAAGTGTGAGGGTGCTGTTCATTCCAGAACAGAGGGGGCACCAGAGTGCACTGCCACGCAGGGATCTCTGGGACTCCCGATCTGTTGGCCAGATTCCCTTCCTTGTGGAGCGGTTCAGGTCGAAAGGGACGTTCTCTGAGAAGAGCCACCACAGGTAGGAAAAGTGGACAGTCCAGGGGCTGGGCAGGAGCCAAAGGGAGGACCCTGGAGCAGGGTGGGACAGGGAGGGCAGGATGTGGAGACCCCAGTATGATCTCTGGGGGTTCTAGCTTGGGCTACCCTCCTATAATATTCCCCGACTTCCCTCTCTGAGACTTCAGCGATTTGAGGGCACGAGTCCAAGGGTGTGCCTTTGCTCCAAGTCCAACAGAGAGAGGAAACATACGTTACCCCGAAAAAAATGGTCTTACCTCATCCGAATGGGGACTGAAATGGCTGAAGTCTCCAAAAGTTACAGAACCTGCTCCTGCCCTAATAGTCTCTACAGGAGGTGTACAGGGGAGGTCTCAAAGAAGTGAGGTGCCCAGAGGAGCGGGGATCCATGTCAGCATGGGGGTAGAGTAGGGGGTGGGAAGACTATAGTGGGAATCAAGAATCCTTGATAGGAATCCACGTAGCGTAAAAAAGAGGGGGCACCAGAGAGCCTCGCCCCTTGTAACGCCCCTAGAAAACCCCATAACTGGGGATAAGGTATGAGCAACACTCACACTCATTTCCTTCCAGGGAAAACCAGCAAGTGAGGGGCTTTGTCCTCTGTGGAGGTGGAGTGTCCTCAGGTAAGTCAAGGGAATCGCCTTGGGGTGAGAAAGGGAGCCAAATGAGAGTTCCACAATCACACCTCCAAGTCTTCCCTAGGATATCAGGGAGACGGGACACTTGGCAAGTGTGGGTAGTCATCTCAGTTGAGAAAGGGGAAGAAAAGCAGGCCTTAAAAGAGTCATGAGTACTACTCATCTAGAAAG